CATCATCCTACAGAGGTTGGCTCCTCCCTGGAGGGACCTGCTATAAAAGGGTCATTGTCGCAGACTTCAGCACCCAGCAAGCTCCTTCGGGCTACATTCTACTTGCTCTTCTGGTGAACCAAGTGAGTAAGAGGGACTATATCTAACTTTGTCTACTTGGTGTGAAACACAGAATTATGGATTGTGCTGCAAGGCAAAAAGGCTCTAAATGCTGTGGGATATTTATTTTAGCACTCTTACAGAAAATTTACTGCAACATGGAAGGGAAATGAGGATATAAATTTGCCTTCTCTAAATATGTGTTAACTACCTACACTGTCAAGCTCTGTTCTTGGCAGATGGTACAGGTGTCAACAGTGACATTTTACTCATAGAAGCTCTGTTTAATAGGAAGCGACATGAAGCAAACCATAAATGAATAATAATATCAGATGTTTACTTCAGAAAACAAATAATGAGGAAAATAAGAGTGGTTTGGTAAAATTATTGGGGGAGAATGCTTTAACTTGGGTGGTCAGGAAAGACCTCTGGAGATTACCTTTGAGCTGGGACTTAAGTGAGTTTTCAAAGAGACAAATTAAAGCGAAGAGAAGATTCTAAGTCTGGAATAAAATTTGTTTCCGAGAACAAAGGGAACTGGTCTTATAATAGAATACATGGTACTATAAATTTCAGACATGGTAGAACATATACAGAGAGGCAGAGTAGAGGCAGAGTAGAGTCTTTGCATGCATAGCAATCATGGGAAAGTATTAAGCAGGACATGTTAACCGGAACTATGTTTTTTAAAGATAGTTCTAGGTTTTAAACTAAAAAACAAAAAAGTGTAACAAGAGGGAAAGAGTGTGAACAAGGACATAAAGTAAAATATAGCTGGGATAAGACATGATGGCACTGATAGTAGTGAGAGGCACTGATCTTTGCTCAAGCCCAACATCTAGAAGCTACTTATATTACATTCCTGTCTTTTCTTATACCACTTTGACCAAGTCCAGTCAACTCTGACCCAAAACCTGCCACATCCACATGTCTCCCTCTCCAGCACTACCATCCCAGGGCAGGCTATCCCTCACTCCCACCTCTGTTTTCTAAAAAGCCAACTTTCTCATTTTGATATCAATGGACACTTGAGTTTGTTGTATTTATAGAGGTATCAGAAACAAAGAAGTGAAGAACACTCTCATAATGATTTTTGTTTACATATTTGTAAGTTTGTATTAGAAATATTTCCTAGAGAAAATCTTCCTTCTAGCAGTATTTTGAAGATCCAGTTTTTCCATATCCTGTGCTTGGAATTTTGGGTGCGTGTACTGTGGTCTCATGCTGTAATTTTATTTGCTTTTCCCTGTTGGTTAATCTGGCTGAGAACTTTTGGTATGTTTATTTACCACATGGGCATTGTGTTTTGTTCTTTCTGGTCTCTGCCCATTTGTCTATTGGATTGTCTAGAGTTTTTAGAGTGAAAATTGCAGTTATTTTTATTTTTATCACAACATCTTTATAGGTTAATAAGAGGCAGATATTATCGCTCCCTTCTCTTTCTCAATAGGGTCTTAGAATAAACAGACATTCCTATTTTTAACACATCCAGTTTATTAATCTTTTTCATAACTAGTATTATTTAGTTCTACTTAGTATTTTTCTATCCGTGGGTCACGCAGATATTCTCCTATTATTTTAAATCTTTTTATGTAAAATTCATCTGGGAACCAACTGTTATTCCATATGGAAATTCTTTTGATGACTATTCCTTATTCAAAAGACCATCCCTTTATTATATACTTACAATTCTACCCTTGTCATTATTCCAGTGCTCATATCTGATTTTAGACTGTCTTTCATCACTCTATCTGCCTTATACCAATGCAGAGCTGTCTTCCTTTATAATACTATTTGATATTTGTTATGTCCTCACACTTTGTCTTCTTCAGGATGTCTTGGCTAAACTTGGCCCTTCACATTTCCTTATAGATCTTAGAAATCATCATAATTATTGTTGTTTTTTAAATCATCAGGAATTCAGAATAGAACTTTATTTCACTTTTTAAATGTATTTGATAAAACCTGACATCTTAACAATATCAAGACTTACAACTATGCAAAATCAACCACCTATCCAAATTGTTAATCAATCTTAATTTTGACATTATAATTTTCTTATACTCAGCAACACTATTTTATTTTGCTATACATTGAAAAGCTCACATAAAAAAATGTATCATCCTGAGAAAAAGAAGCCTTTTTTTTTTTTGAGAATAAGGAGTCTTGTTCTGTTATTTCCTTTCCAATTATTCTGCTTTAATTCTTTTTCCTAATATGTAGTTCTGGGTCCTAATATATTGCTCTTTTCCTAATATATTGTTCTACACCCTCATGACAGTGTAGAAAAGGATGGCAGAAAGTGTATTAATCTCATACCCAACTCAGAAATAAAAGCCTACAAAATTTCACCACAAAGTATAATATGTAGCTATAAAAAAACCCAACAGTATAATTACCTAAACTATTTTCATAAATACAATTGACATATTTAATTTAAAAATCAAAATTAATGTTGAATTTTATCCAATTTTCTTGCATCTATTAAAAGTTTCATATAATAGTTTGCCAATTATCCTATTACAGTTCACTGACAAGTTCTTAAATGTTAAAAGAGTTTTGAAATTTAGGATAAAACTTACTTGACATTTGTCCTTTTTAAGGAAAACTAAAATCATTTTACTATTATTTCTTTTATATTTTTGCATCAATGGTCATGAAACACTGTCACTGTCACTGTCACTGTCCTCCTGTTGTTCATCGATTTGCTTGAGCAGGCCCAGTACTGTCACCATTGTGAGACTTGCTGTTACTGTGTTTGGCATATCAAATACCTCACAAGTAGCTTGCCAGGCTTTGCTATGCGGGCAAAATACTCTCGGTAGCTTGCCGGGCTCTCCAAGAGGGCTGGAGAAATCGAACCGGAGTCAGCGGATCAGTCGCATACAAGGCAAACGCCTTACCGCTGTACTATCGCTTCAGCCTTGTCATGAAACAAATTCTCCTAAATTTCTGTTCTTAGAATATCCTATTCAAGTATGTAATACTGGGATTACATTGGTTTCAGAAAATAAGTTCACATATTTTCATTCAGTTCTAATTTCAATTTTCAAAATTCAATTATAACTTATTCTATGATCCATTTAGATGTAACTGCTTTTAATTTTTAAAAACTTGGGAATTTTTCTGGGCATTATTCTATTATTGAATTTGAGATTCATTTCGCTGTGATATAAAAAATTTCCTACATGATTTCAATCCATTGACATTTGGTGAGGCTTACTTTATGATAAAGAAAACAGTAAATTTAATAATACTTAATTCTCATAGCAAAACATATATTCCAGAGTTGTTAGCTACTGTTTTCTATATATACTCATGCCTTTGGTAATAATTTCCTGGACAATCTATGTCTTTATACTGCTTTTGTCTAGTTAGGATACCAATTCTAGACATATGTGTGTTTCTTTCTAGGATATTGGGTTTATTTACTTCTCATAGTTCAATCAAATTTTGTTTTCTGAATCTTTAGCATGTTACTAGATACTTGTCAATATACATTTTAATCTTTTTTTAACTCACATTTTATTGTTCTTAATTCTAGCAATGCTTTTTCTCATTAACTTTAAAATGTTAATATAATAGTAGAAACTTTTAGAGATTGAATATTATGTTTTTCCATTTTTTCCTTTCAACCACTGATGTTATATTTAATATGTGTCACTAGTAATTACATACAGCTAGATATTTCAATTTAGTGTGATAATGTTTATTTATTAAAATTAATGTGTTATTTTAATATTTGATATTTTTAATTTAATTTTTTATTATTAAATATTAAATAGTTTCTTTATATTCATCATATTTTGGTATTGGTGCCATAAACCCAGAAGTTCTCAGGGCTTACTCCTGGCTCTGCACTCAGGGTTACTACTGATGCTGTTCAAGGGACCATATGGGACTTCTGGGACTGAACCCAGGTTGGCCATGTGCAAGGCAAATGCCCGACCCACCTACCTACCCGTACTTATCACTCCAGCCCCTACATCCATAATATTTCAATCTGATTTCTATTATGCCACCTGTTACATACTTCCTGTTCTCTCTTGACTTATTTGGAGATAAATTAAATGCATGTCAGTTAATTTCCTTCATACTAGTTTATTAATTACACTTTCTTTACTATACATTGTATACTAACCCTAGAAATTGCACCATGAATATCTAGTTTATAAGAGTACACTATTACTCAAAAGGACCCAAAAAAGCAGTGTTTTTAATTAAATTAGTCAAAATTTGAGATGATTCTCTCAGTGCAGAGAAGAAATTGGTCTGGGGCTGGAAAGATAATACAGTGGGTAGGGCAAAAGCCTTTCATATAGTAAAGGTAAAGGTAAAGGTAAAGGCCCTCCCGTTGATCGTCGATTTGCTCGAGCGGGCCCAGTAACGTCTCCATTGGAGACTTTGTTGTTACTGTGTCTGGCATATCGAATACTCTCGGTAGCTTGCCGGGCTCTCCGAGAGGGGCGGAGGAATCGAACTCGGGTCGGCCATGTTGGCCGCTTGTAAGGCGAACGCCCTACCGCTGTGCTATCCCTCCAGCTAGGTTTAATCTCCAGCACCCCATAAGGTCCCCTGAGCCTTGCCAGGAGTAATTCCTGAGTGCAGAGCCAGGAGTAACACTGAACATCACCAGGTGTGGCTCAAAAACCAGGAAAAAAAGAAGAAAGAAAGAAAGAAAGAAAGAAAGAAAGAAAGAAAGAAAGCAAAAAAGAAAGGAAGGAAGAAAGGAAGAGATCAACTACTGCATCATGCAAATGCCATTTCAATTGTTATGTACTATGTATGGGAATCCTTTTAAAATTCAAAATTTAAAAATAATAATTGATACAAGCAGAAAAAAAGATAATATAAAATACACATTACTATTTCCTTTTTCTAGATTCATCTAACTCCCAGCAATGGCTAGTCTTCTTGACAACATTATTTCAATCATCAACTTATTCCATCAATATTCAAAAAAATATAAGGATACTGAATCATTGAACGAAAAGGAACTGAAGGAGCTGCTGGAAGTAGAGTTTCGGCCTATCTTGAAGGTAAAAGAACATTTATGAGGAATAAATGGAAAAGCTTACATATTCTGCATCAGTTACCTCAAAACACATCATTTTAAATTAATACTTCTAGAGAAGAAAATAATGTTATTTAAAATTATTTAAAATTTTATTTGCCCCTGGAGTGGAAATTAATTTTATTTAAAAACAAATCATTTATAATGTCTTCATGATAATTTATACATACAATACACACAGGTCCATGGAACAAGAAAGACAAATAATAGAGAAATATATGTATATATTCTTGACACAAATGTTTAAGGGCAAAGAAACAAAAACTTAATTACGTCATTCTAAAAAATTCCCATGAATTCAAAACCTACAAGGACATACTTTCTTTCTATTTGGGGGTCATGCCCAACTGCTCAGGTCTTAGTCTAGACTCTGAGGTCTCGGCTTAACCTGGCAAGATACGGTACGATATGGGGAGCCGCAGATCCAACCTATTTATCCTATGCAAGGCAAATGCCCTACAGGCTATACTATAGCACCACCCTCATAAGAACATCAATTTAAGAGTGGTTCAAGTACACACACTTAAAATGGTCAACTTTTCAGTAGAAAAGTGCTGTACTCTAAGTCCAGGCTAAGCTACGAGCAGCCCCCGAAGTGTTTCACGTGACACACAAAAGCAACAACAATAAAAAAAATTCTTTAAAGATAAATTTTTGTGAATAATACAAAAAGTGACTAAAACTCTGTAATTTCTTCCTCCTTTGTTGCAAAACAGAATCCAGACGACCCAGACACCGCGGACGTCTTCATGCATATCCTAGATATAGACCACAACAATGAAATAAATTTCACAGAATTTTTTCTAATGGTATTCAAGTTGGCACAAGCATACTATGATTCAACAAGGAAACAGAATTTTGAAACACTAGATAAGAAAAAGAAAAGATATAGGGATACTATTCAAGATGAAGAAGACGAAATACAAGAAGAAGAAATACCCAGAAGACACTCAAGTAATTCAAGAAGAAGTGAAACAAAGAGAAGACATGGGGCATCTAAGAGTGAAACAGGAAAAGGGAAACGGAGCGATAAAAGGCGAGACAGCAGTGAGTATGAATTTCCACTGGGAAATAAACACCGAAGTGAAAAAGAACATAAAAATGCACGGGAGAGACAACGGGAGCCTTCAAGCTCCATCGAAAGAAAGGAGAGAAGGAATAAATCCAGCGGAAGTCCTAAAAGGAAAATGAAACAGAGAAAAGAAAAATATGACTCAGAAATAGAAATTACAAGAAATGAGACACTGATTAATCAGGAAATTCAAGGATCAGATTCCAGTTACAACAGCGAGGAAGAATGGAACTCAGAAAGAGCAGAATCATTGTTCTCCCAAGAGACAGATAAGACATCGCACAGAGGCCAGGACAAAAAGACTGAAGCTGCGCAGAAACACTCAGTTACCGGCACCACCAGAGGACAGGGCACCGGGCGCGGACAGTCCACAGACAGCCCCAGGAGATCGGGCTCCCGGCACGCCGAGACCTCCTCTCGCGGACACAGTGGGCAGACCAGGACCAGCGCACACGGCGGCCAGCACGAGCAGGCTGCCGACGGCTCCCGGCGCAAGGCCGCTGCCCGTGGACAGTCGCCCGCGGGCTCCAGCACAGAGAGACCCCGCGCTTCTGCCGCTAGCCCCCAGGCCAGCGACAGCGAAGCCTCCTCCGACGAGTCCTCGCACACCGCCGGCCGCTCTGGCTCCACCTCCGCCAGCCAACACGCTTCCACACGCGGCCAGGCCTCGGACAGCTCCAGGCACGCGGGCTCCCGGCATGGCCAGACGTCCACACGCACGCAGGCCGACTCTACCCACACACACTCGGGCTCCGGCACCAGGGAAGCTCAGGGCCGCCGCCACCAGCCCTCCGCAGACTCCCCCAGGCAGGCGGGCACCACGCAGCGCCACAGTTCTTCTGCAGCCCAGGGCAGCCGGCAACGTGACTCCAGCGACAGCCAGGACAGCGAGGCCGAGGCCCCGTCCCAGCACGCCGATGGCCAGACCCGGGGCACCCACACAAGCCCCAGGACCACGCACGAGGGCCAACGCGAAGCCACCCAGGGCCGCTCACGCGACCAGACCGGACACTCGGGGGCCCACTTCTACCTGATTTCCTCCCACGAGGACCAGGAAGCTGAACAAGGCCAGTCCAAGGCCAGGAGCAGCGGGAGACAGGGCTCGCGCCACCAGCAGGAGTCCGACAGCACCAGGCAGGCAGGGTCCAGCGGGAGACGCACCGAGGCGGCCCACGGCCACTCTGGAGCCGGCACGGGCACGAGACACGGCTCCCAGCACGAGCAGGCAAGAGACAGCTCCAGGCCCAGCAGAAGCCGGGGCTCCAGCGTCAGCCAGGACAGCGACAGCGAGGGCCACTCCCAGCAGTCCGAGAGGCCCTCGGGCCGCACCTCCCAGGGCCACCGCCAGTCGGGCGACAGCGCCAGGCAGTCTGGGGCCCAGGGAGGACAGAGAGCCCAGCGCCACCAGACTGACGCTGCCCAGGGACACTCAGGCATGGGCACCGCCAGAGGACAGGGCACCGGGCGCGGACAGTCCACAGACAGCCCCAGGAGATCGGGCTCCCAGCACGCCGAGACCTCCTCTCGCGGACACAGTGGGCAGACCAGGACCAGCGCACACGGCGGCCAGCACGAGCAGGCTGCCGACGACTCCCGGCGCAAGACCGCTGCCCAGGGACAGTCGCCCGCGGGCTCCAGCACAGAGAGGCCCCGTGCTTCCGCCGCCAGCCAGCAGGCCAGCGACAGCGAAGGCTCCTCAGAGGAGTCCTCGCACACTGCTGGCAGGTCTGGCTCCACCTCCGCCAGCCAACACGCTTCCACGCGCAGCCAGGCCTCGGACAGCTCCAGGCACGCGGGTTCCCGGCAAGGCCAGACGTCCACACGCACGCAGGCCGACTCTGCCCGCACACACTCAGGCACCGGCACCAGGGAAGCTCAGGGCCGCCGCCACCAGTCCTCCGCAGACTCCGCCAGGCACGCGGGCACCGCACAGGGCCACAGCTCCTCTGAGGCCCAGGGCGGCCGGCAACGTGCCTCCAGTGCCAGCCAGGACAGCGAGGCCGAGGCCCCATCCCAGCACGCAGATGGCCAGACCCGGGGCGCCCACAGAAGCCCCAGGACCTCGCACGAGGGCCAACGCGAAGCCACCCAGGGCCGCTCACGCGACCAGTCCGGACACTCGGGGGCCCACTTCTACCTGATTTCCTCCCACGAGGACCAGGAAGCTGAACAAGGCCAGTCCAAGGCCAGGACCAGCGGGAGACAGGGCTCGCGCCACCAGCAAGAGTCCGACAGCACCAGGCAGGCAGGGTCCAGCGGGAGACGCACCGAGGCGGCCCACGGCCACTCTGGAGCCGACACGGGCACGAGACACGGCTCCCAGCACGAGCAGGCAAGAGACAGCTCCAGGCCCAGCAGAAGCCGGGGCTCCAGCGTCAGCCAGGACAGCGACAGCGAGGGCCACTCCCAGCAGTCCGAGAGGCCCTCGGGCCGCACCTCCCAGGGCCACCGCCAGTCGGGCGACAGCGCCAGGCAGTCTGGGGCCCAGGGAGGACAGAGAGCCCAGCGCCACCAGACTGACGCTGCCCAGGGACACTCAGGCACGGGCACCGCCAGAGGACAGGGCACCGGGCGCGGACAGTCCACAGACAGCCCCAGGAGATCGGGCTCCCGGCACGCCGAGACCTCCTCTCGCGGACACAGTGGGCAGACCAGGACCAGCGCACACGGCGGCCAGAACGAGCAGGCTGCCGACGGCTCCCGGCGCAAGGCCGCTGCCCGTGGACAGTCGCCCGCGGGCTCCAGCACAGAGAGACCCCGCGCTTCTGCCGCTAGCCCCCAGGCCAGCGACAGCGAAGCCTCCTCCGACGAGTCCTCGCACACCGCCGGCCGCTCTGGCTCCACCTCCGCCAGCCAACACGCTTCCACACGCGGCCAGGCCTCGGACAGCTCCAGGCACGCGGGCTCCCGGCATGGCCAGACGTCCACACGCACGCAGGCCGACTCTGCCCACACACACTCGGGCTCCGGCACCAGGGAAGCTCAGGGCCGCCGCCACCAGCCCTCCGCAGACCCCCCCAGGCAGGCGGGCACCACGCAGCGCCACAGTTCTTCTGCAGCCCAGGGCAGCCGGCAACGCGGCTCCAGCGCCAGCCAGGACAGCGAGGCCGAGGCCCCGTCCCAGCACGCCGATGGCCAGACCCGGGGCACCCACACAAGCCCCAGGACCACGCACGAGGGCCAACGCGAAGCCACCCAGGGCCGCTCACGCGACCAGTCCGTACACTCGGGGGCCCACTTCTACCTGATTTCCTCCCACGAGGACCAGGAAGCTGAACAAGGCCAGTCCAAGGCCAGGACCAGCGGGAGACAGGGCTCGCGCCACCAGCAGGAGTCCGACAGCACCAGGCAGGCAGGGTCCAGCGGGAGACGCACCGAGGCGGCCCACGGCCACTCTGGAGCCGGCACGGGCACGAGACACGGCTCCCAGCACGAGCAGGCAAGAGACAGCTCCAGGCCCAGCAGAAGCCGGGGCTCCAGCGTCAGCCAGGACAGCGACAGCGAGGGCCACTCCCAGCAGTCCGAGAGGCCCTCGGGCCGCACCTCCCAGGGCCACCGCCAGTCGGGCGACAGCGCCAGGCAGTCTGGGGCCCAGGGAGGACAGAGAGCCCAGCGCCACCAGACTGACGCTGCCCAGGGACACTCAGGCACGGGCACCGCCAGAGGACAGGGCACCGGGCGCGGACAGTCCACAGACAGCCCCAGGAGATCGGGCTCCCGGCACGCCGAGACCTCCTCTCGCGGACACAGTGGGCAGACCAGGACCAGCGCACACGGCGGCCAGCACGAGCAGGCTGCCGACGGCTCCCGGCGCAAGACCGCTGCCCGTGGACAGTCGCCCGCGGGCTCCAGCACTGAGAGGCCCCGTGCTTCCGCCGCCAGCCAGCAGGCCAGCGACAGCGAAGGCTCCTCAGAGGAGTCCTCGCACACTGCTGGCAGGTCTGGCTCCACCTCCGCCAGCCAACACGCTTCCACGCGCAGCCAGGCCTCGGACAGCTCCAGGCACGCGGGTTCCCGGCAAGGCCAGATGTCCACACGCACGCAGGCCGACTCTGCCCACACACACTCGGGCTCCGGCACCAGGGAAGCTCAGGGCCGCCGCCACCAGTCCTCCGCAGACTCCGCCAGGCACGCGGGCACCGCACAGGGCCACAGCTCCTCTGAGGCCCAGGGCGGCCGGCAACGTGCCTCCAGTGCCAGCCAGGACAGCGAGGCCGAGGCCCCATCCCAGCACGCAGATGGCCAGACCCGGGGCGCCCACAGAAGCCCCAGGACCTCGCACGAGGGCCAACGCGAAGCCACCCAGGGCCACTCACGCGACCAGTCCGGACACTCGGGGGCCCACTTCTACCTGATTTCCTCCCACGAGGACCAGGAAGCTAAACAAGGCCAGTCCAAGGCCAGGACCAGCGGGAGACAGGGCTCGCGCCACCAGCAAGAGTCCGACAGCACCAGGCAGGCAGGGTCCAGCGGGAGACGCACCGAGGCGGCCCACGGCCACTCTGGAGCCGGCACGGGCACGAGACACGGCTCCCAGCACGAGCAGGCAAGAGACAGCTCCAGGCCCAGCAGAAGCCGGGGCTCCAGCGTCAGCCAGGACAGCGACAGCGAGGGCCACTCCCAGCAGTCCGAGAGGCCCTCGGGCCGCACCTCCCAGGGCCACCGCCAGTCGGGCGACAGCGCCAGGCAGTCTGGGGCCCAGGGAGGACAGAGAGCCCAGCGCCACCAGACTGATGCTGCCCAGGGACACTCAGGCACGGGCACCGCCAGAGGACAGGGCACCGGGCGCGGACAGTCCACAGACAGCCCCAGGAGATCGGGCTCCCGGCACGCCGAGACCTCCTCTCGCGGGCACAGCGGGCAGACCAGAACCAGCGCACACGGCGGCCAGAACGAGCAGGCTGCCGACGGCTCCCGGCGCAAGGCCGCTGCCCGTGGACAGTCGCCCGCAGGCTCCAGCACAGAGAGACCCCGTGCTTCCGCCGCCAGCCAGCAGGCCAGCGACAGCGAAGGCTCCTCAGAGGAGTCCTCGCACACTGCTGGCAGGTCTGGCTCCACCTCCGCCAGCCAACACGCTTCCACGCGCAGCCAGGCCTCGGACAGCTCCAGGCACGCGGGTTCCCGGCAAGGCCAGACGTCCACACGCACGCAGGCCGACTCTGCCCGCACACACTCAGGCACCGGCACCAGGGAAGCTCAGGGCCGCCGCCACCAGTCCTCCGCAGACTCCGCCAGGCACGCGGGCACCGCACAGGGCCACAGCTCCTCTGAGGCCCAGGGCGGCCGGCAACGTGCCTCCAGTGCCAGCCAGGACAGCGAGGCCGAGGCCCCATCCCAGCACGCAGATGGCCAGACCCGGGGCGCCCACAGAAGCCCCAGGACCTCGCACGAGGGCCAACGCGAAGCCACCCAGGGCCGCTCACGCGACCAGTCCGGACACTCGGGGGCCCACTTCTACCTGATTTCCTCCCACGAGGACCAGGAAGCTGAACAAGGCCAGTCCAAGGCCAGGACCAGCGGGAGACAGGGCTCGCGCCACCAGCAAGAGTCCGACAGCACCAGGCAGGCAGGGTCCAGCGGGAGACGCACCGAGGCGGCCCACGGCCACTCTGGAGCCGGCACGGGCACGAGACACGGCTCCCAGCACGAGCAGGCAAGAGACAGCTCCAGGCCCAGCAGAAGCCGGGGCTCCAGCGTCAGCCAGGACAGCGACAGCGAGGGCCACTCCCAGCAGTCCGAGAGGCCCTCGGGCCGCACCTCCCAGGGCCACCGCCAGTCGGGCGACAGCGCCAGGCAGTCTGGGGCCCAGGGAGGACAGAGAGCCCAGCGCCACCAGACTGATGCTGCCCAGGGACACTCAGGCACGGGCACCGCCAGAGGACAGGGCACCGGGCGCGGACAGTCCACAGACAGCCCCAGGAGATCGGGCTCCCGGCACGCCGAGACCTCCTCTCGCGGGCACAGCGGGCAGACCAGAACCAGCGCACACGGCGGCCAGAACGAGCAGGCTGCCGACGGCTCCCGGCGCAAGGCCGCTGCCCGTGGACAGTCGCCCGCAGGCTCCAGCACAGAGAGACCCCGTGCTTCCGCCGCCAGCCAGCAGGCCAGCGACAGCGAAGGCTCCTCAGAGGAGTCCTCGCACACTGCTGGCAGGTCTGGCTCCACCTCCGCCAGCCAACACGCTTCCACGCGCAGCCAGGCCTCGGACAGCTCCAGGCACGCGGGTTCCCGGCAAGGCCAGACGTCCACACGCACGCAGGCCGACTCTGCCCGCACACACTCAGGCACCGGCACCAGGGAAGCTCAGGGCCGCCGCCACCAGTCCTCCGCAGACTCCGCCAGGCACGCGGGCACCGCACAGGGCCACAGCTCCTCTGAGGCCCAGGGCGGCCGGCAACGTGCCTCCAGTGCCAGCCAGGACAGCGAGGCCGAGGCCCCATCCCAGCACGCAGATGGCCAGACCCGGGGCGCCCACAGAAGCCCCAGGACCTCGCACGAGGGCCAACGCGAAGCCACCCAGGGCCGCTCACGCGACCAGTCCGGACACTCGGGGGCCCACTTCTACCTGATTTCCTCCCACGAGGACCAGGAAGCTGAACAAGGCCAGTCCAAGGCCAGGACCAGCGGGAGACAGGGCTCGCGCCACCAGCAAGAGTCCGACAGCACCAGGCAGGCAGGGTCCAGCGGGAGACGCACCGAGGCGGCCCACGGCCACTCTGGAGCCGGCACGGGCACGAGACACGGCTCCCAGCACGAGCAGGCAAGAGACAGCTCCAGGCCCAGCAGAAGCCGGGGCTCCAGCGTCAGCCAGGACAGCGACAGCGAGGGCCACTCCCAGCAGTCCGAGAGGCCCTCGGGCCGCACCTCCCAGGGCCACCGCCAGTCGGGCGACAGCGCCAGGCAGTCTGGGGCCCAGGGAGGACAGAGAGCCCAGCGCCACCAGACTGATGCTGCCCAGGGACACTCAGGCACGGGCACCGCCAGAGGACAGGGCACCGGGCGCGGACAGTCCACAGACAGCCCCAGGAGATCGGGCTCCCGGCACGCCGAGACCTCCTCTCGCGGGCACAGTGGGCAGACCAGAACCAGCGCACACGGCGGCCAGAACGAGCAGGCTGCCGACGGCTCCCGGCGCAAGGCCGCTGCCCGTGGACAGTCGCCCGCAGGCTCCAGCACAGAGAGACCCCGTGCTTCCGCCGCCAGCCAGCAGGCCAGCGACAGCGAAGGCTCCTCAGAGGAGTCCTCGCACACTGCTGGCAGGTCTGGCTCCACCTCCGCCAGCCAACACGCTTCCACGCGCAGCCAGGCCTCGGACAGCTCCAGGCACGCGGGTTCCCGGCAAGGCCAGACGTCCACACGCACGCAGGCCGACTCGGCCCACACACACTCAGGCACCGGCACCAGGGAAGCTCAGGGCCGCCGCCACCAGTCCTCCGCAGACTCCGCCAGGCACGCGGGCACCGCACAGGGCCACAGCTCCTCTGGGGCCCAGGGCGTCCGGCAACGTGCCTCCAGTGCCAGCCAGGACAGCGAGGCCGAGGCCCCATCCCAGCACGCAGATGGCCAGACCCGGGGCGCCCACAGAAGCCCCAGGACCTCGCACGAGGGCCAACGCGAAGCCACCCAGGGCCGCTCACGCGACCAGTCCGGACACTCGGGGGCCCACTTCTACCTGATTTCCTCCCACGAGGACCAGGAAGCTGAACAAGGCCAGTCCAAGGCCAGGACCAGCGGGAGACAGGGCTCGCGCCACCAGCAAGTGTCCGACAGCACCAGACAGGCAGGGTCCAGCGGGAGACGCACCGAGGCGGCCCACGGCCACTCTGGAGCCGGCACGGGCACGAGACACGGCTCCCAGCACGAGCAGGCAAGAGACAGCTCCAGGCCCAGCAGAAGCCGGGGCTCCAGCGTCAGCCAGGACAGCGACAGCGAGGGCCACTCCCAGCAGTCCGAGAGGCCCTCGGGCCGCACCTCCCAGGGCCACCGCCAGTCGGGCGACAGCGCCAGGCAGTCTGGGGCCCAGGGAGGACAGAGAGCCCAGCGCCACCAGACTGACGCTGCCCAGGGACACTCAGGCACGGGCACCGCCAGAGGACAGGGCACCGGGCGCGGACAGTCCACAGACAGCCCCAGGAGATCGGGCTCCCGACACGCCGAGACCTCCTCTCGCGGGCACAGTGGGCAGGCCAGGACCAGCGCACACGGCGGCCAGCACGAGCAGGCTGCCGACGGCTCCCGGCGCAAGGCCGCTGCCCGTGGACAGTCGCCCGCGGGCTCCAGCACCGAGAGACCCCGTGCTTCCACCACCAGCCACCAGGCCAGCGACAGCGAAGGCTCCTCAGAGGGGTCCTCGCACACCGCTGGCAGGTCTGGCTCCACCTCCGCCAGCCAACACGCTTCCACACGCGGTCCGGCCTCGGACAGCTCCAGGCACACGGGCTCCCGGCATGGCCAGACGTCCACACGCACGCAGGCCGACTCTGCCCACACACACTCAGGCACCGGCACCAGGGAAGCTCAGGGCCGCCGCCACCAGTCCTCCGCAGACTCCCCCAGGCACACGGGCACTGCTCAGGGCCACAGTTCTTCTGCAGCCCAGGGCAGCCGGCAACGCGCCTCCAGCACCAGCCAGGATAGTGAGGCCGAGGCCCAGTCCCAGCACTCAGATGGCCAGGCAGGCTCAAATGATGACCACGTTGGTTTAGTTTCACAGAAACACAGGGTTAGGTATTCTCATAATTCCTCTACTCATAGTCAAATCTTAGATTCTCCTGAGAATTCTAAACAGTTGGAATTTACTCAGTATGAAGTATACTACTACTCTGATTAAGTGGAAGCATAACATTCAGAAACGAATAATTACAGAAATCGCAGTACACTGAAATTGACAACTTATCCTTCCTAGACTTAATCATTTTCCCATTATTTTTTTTCTCTGTTTTCTTCATTTCTTTTGGTGGTAGTTTTATTTTATTCTGCAGCATGTAACCATTTTCTTTAGTGTTATAGGTATGGAAAATAAATGTGGTTTAGGCATCTTTATACTTATTGATGAGAAAAGCACCAAATTTGGATCATTTTTTAGTGCTTATTGAGTCTGGCAGATTTTATTCAAAGTTTTAAAATGCATCATATTTTGACTAAAACCAAAATGTAAATTTTAGGGATGATTTATTAATATCATGGCTAATACCTATCCTCTTTTAACCTTTTGAAAATCTTTAGTATTCTTTGTTATTGACAAAACCTAATAATTAAATCAACTATGTACTGCATTGTAATTCAAAATAAATCATTAAATTTAATTTTAATTGTCATCTATTAATATTTTTCTTTTGGTCCCAAATATTTTCTTCCTTCTAGCCACGTTAGGACACATTTACTACTCAGACTTTTCATACTTCAATATGATAACCTGCAATGAAAAGAATTATATCAATGCTATGTTTTGCACCAATATGATTTCCCACACATTTACCTACCAAAAAATATAGGCTTACTTGAGTCATCAGTAGTTTAATGATCGTTTTCCTAGGTTTAAATAATGTGGTTATGCAGTCATGTCAAATTGAGTTTAGGAAAGTGATTTTTCACTATTTGTCTTCCTCTTGAAGAGCTAATAAGAAATAATGTCCAATGGGTTCATCTAAATAGTTTAAATTCCTGAAATAGTTGACAAAGGCCCTCCCGTTGATCGTCGATTTGCTAGAGCGGGCCCAGTAATGTCTCCATTGGAGACTTTGTTGTTACTGTGTTTGGCATATCAAATAGTCTCGGTAGCTTGCCGGGCTCTCCGAGAGGGGCGGAGGAATCGAACTCGGGTTGGTCATGTTGGCCGCTTGTAAGGCAAACGCCCTACCGCTGTGCTATCGCTCCAGCCCCAGTTGACAAAGGTAAAACTATAAATAAAATTACCTTTGCTGTTTGGTAGTAAATTCCTACAAATTTTTTAAGGAAAATGGATAGATTATAAACAGAGCCAAAATGTAAAACAGTTTGTACTACATAGAAAGAATATCTTCTATGAGAACTGTAATACAAGTTTCTTCATAAGACCAGAATCTACATTAGAGTCAAATCAGTGTTCCCTTTTTTATGTAGAAGTCTACAACACAAGTTATTCTTGTCCAAATACAATCAGATCTCAGTATTTCATGTACTTTTGCTCTACAGAAAATCACTTTATTCATTTACTTATTTTGTTTGGGAGTCACACCTGGTTGTTCTCAGGGTTTGCTCCTGGCTCTGTGCTCAGGGAGCACTCCTGGTGGGACTCCAAAGACCATATGGGGCACTGGCACTGTAGACTGAATCTGGTTTTCAATGTAAAAGACAAGGTCTTACCTATTCTTCTGTCTCTCCAGCTATTCTTCTATCTCTCTGTCTACACAAGTCATTTTAGAAAGCTCCCCCAACTCCCAGAACCTTACTTTCTTGCTTATAGTGCAGTGCCAAAATTGTCCAGCTGAAAAAAATCTCTAAGACAACAAATCTGCAGGTTTTGTGGGCCACCAGAGACACAAATAGGGAGAGAATGTCTTACTATTTCTGAGGCATAATTTATCATCTTACCTCTAACCATATAGCTATACTTGTGAATTTGTATCTGAGGCACTTCTCTAGAGAAGTCAGGCCTAATTAACAGGCTACAGAATTTAAAAAATCATAGTCATAAATAGTACCTAAGCACTGCCAGGTGTGGTGCTAGGGTAGAAAAGCCTTCCGAAGTAAGAGAGTGATTAACATCAGAGTCCAAGGGCTGTAAAAACAGTACAGGGGCTAAGCCTGGTTGATTCCCAGCATGCCAGGTGTGACCCCTGGATGGAGCCAGGAGTAGCCCCAGAGCACCAAAGTGGCCCAATGAGAGAGTGTTGTGGGGAGGGGGGAAAAGATCAGGTCACTGACATGGAATATCTTCTGGACAATGAAATCAATGAATTTCATTATCTATCAAATCTATAGGTTAAAATGAAAGGAAGGAATTTAGGGTATTTATATACTTCTATACCGGGCAATTTTTCAAAAATTTTATTTTATTAAAGCACCATGATTTACACAGTAATTCATAGTTGAATTTTAGACATACAATATTGCATCACTGATCCCACCACCAGTGTCTACTTCCCTCCAGCAATGTTCCCAGGTTCCCTCCCCACCCCAACCCCCAACCCCACTCCCAGCCTGCCCTCTTGACAGGGACCTTCTGAAGTTTGGTTGTTAAAGTCTGGTTTAACCCCTATGAAAAACAGTATGGAGAATTCTCAGTAAACTTAGAATTGAGCTGCCATATGACCCAGCAATTCTACTTTGGGATATCAAAAACATTCATTTAAAAAAATGCATGCGTACCATTTTCACTGCAGCACTCAGTACAATAACTAAGATTTGGAATCAACCTAGATGGCCAAAGAGAGATAAGTAGATCATAAAGATGTGGTATCGACTTGCAATGGAATACCACACAGCTCTAAGGGATGATGAAATAATGCCGTATGCTGCCACCTGGATGGAACTGGGAGACATCATTTTAAATGAAATAAGCCAGGACAAAAAAGGATAAACACAGGATAATATCACTTGTATATGGTACTTAGGGAATGAGAGAATGCAATGGTTTAAAAGAGGAATGCCTAGATCACCCTTGGCCCCAGAGGAAAAGGAACGAAATTTAGTGGTAGGGAGAGGGGAGACAGATGAGAAGCAAAAGGGGGCACAGAGCAAAGGAATTCAGGTACCTCGGTGTTGTCAATTTGAAAGAATATGATGCCATTTAATGAAGTAAAAGAAAAGAGAAGGAAAATTAGATCAGCTTCGCATATCATAAGTTCAAGTGTTTCAGAAGAGACTCAGAGCTTCACCATCAGCAAAGAGTTATAAAATATTTGAACCATAGGTCAGTGCTTGAATCATCCATATAGAGGGACTCACTGACCTGGTTTCAAGTACAGACTCAGGATCTGGGTGTTATTCAGTCAGTCTCAACTTTGTCAATTATTTGCTGTCTATCCTGGACAACTACTCAAGATTTCTATGGTTTTTTTTCTGTTTCTTTTCTTTTCTTTCTCTCTTTTTTAGTGTTGGGTCACACCCACCGATGCTCAGGGGTGACTGCTTGCTCTCCATTCGGAATTACTTCTTGGTGGACCATATGGGATGCCGATGATTAAACCCAGGGTTGATGCATACAAGGCAAGTGCCTTCCCCACTCTATTATCACTCCATCTCCACTACTGAAGATTTCTATGCTTGTATTTCTTCAGAAAAAAAAATTTAGGTAATTCTGTCTCAACATTTAAGTTGAGACTGAAACAGTTTCTAGAGGGCCAGAAGATAGCAAATGTATATGCTTTGCAAGCCAGAACCTCAATCTCAACTCCCAGCAACCCATGGTCATACCCTGAGCACCACTGGGAGCAATCCTCAAGCATAAAGCTGAAATAGACCCACTTCCACAAATGGCCCTAAAACCAAAATGAAAAAAGAAAATATTCTTAGAATGATGCCTACCATAAACTAAGTACTCAATAAATGTTCATCACTGTGGATGAAATTATCAGTATTACAGAAATGAGAAGGCAGAGAGTGAGAACCTAGACACAACATTGGGAAAATTCACTGTTGAAAATTCCGGCCAGGACGAGGGACGTGGCTCATGGTAAGAGCACACACACTTACACTTGGGAGGCCCTGGGTTCTATATTTAGCTCTCTGTATCCCCCTTAGTACCACCGTGCCTTAATGACCCATAAGACTTCACAGAACAATCAAAAATTGTGAAAGTTCTTCCTAGTCACATAATAAATAGGTTATTGTATAAGATTCGAAATTTATCTTTTCTCTTCCAAACACGTGTTTCTTTACACTAAGAAGGAAAGAGTGTTATCAATATTTCAAAACTTCAAATGCCCTACGTCAAATAAAATGAGAAACTGTTAATTAACTTGTAACTTGATAATTGGTAACTTTTTAAAAAACAGCATTTTCAGTGGAGATTTATGATGCAAATATTGCTGGATAGCTTAGGAATGTGTGTGTGTGTGTGTGTGTGTGTGTGTGAATGTTGTTGCAAATGATCAAATCTAGGATCTTTCACGTGCAAGGCAAATGCTCTACCACTGGAATCACACCCCTCAGCCAAAGAATAGTCATTTTCAAAGCACAATAAAAATGTTTAATCAGTTGAGCCATAAAAGAAATTTATAGCAATGTAATACTTTGTTATAATAGGACAAAGTATTTAATAAACTTTATTAAATATAATAAAGCTCAGAATATGAACTAGGAGCCAGAAAGATAGTATATCAGGTAAGACTCGCCTTGCAATTGGTCGACCAGGTTTCAATCTCTGGCACCTCTGAACCCTCCCAAGAGTGATCAGGGTAGATACAATAAAAAGGAATAAAAAATAATGATAATTGGTTAGAACTTTTAAAGTCATATCAGTTAAACTTACTGATAGATTTGCTTTCAAGTAGAATGGGTTATTTTTAAGTATAATTTCCAGATCTTAGGGTCTATATGTAATTTCTTCTAGTTTCCAGATAGTTAACAGTATTATTATAAAAAGGAAGAAATAGAGACTCATCTCAATTTACCTATTACTTAAATGTATTTCTGGCTTTACATAGTTCCATAATAAATAATACAAGTAACAAATTACTCTAAAATCTAGCAGTGTAAAATAACCTTTTAATTTTGCTCACAGTTTTTATAGTTGAGTAATTTGAAAAGACTAAGCTGAGCAGTTATGAGTTGAGGTCACTCATATATATATAACTGTGCCAGTCAGATATCGCCTGTTTCAATCATCTGAAAGCTCAAGTGGGTCAA